AAAAAGACTGGCAAGAAATCAAAAGACAAGAAAACCAAAAAGAACAAGAAAGACAAGAACGATGATGATGAGGAAGAAAGTGAGCATGACCATGTGCCATTGGGTGGGGATGACAGTGATGAGGATGCCGATGATGATGATGACATGGGTGACTTAGATGGGTATGATGATTTGCTGAATGTGGAGGGTGAAGGTTCAAAGGGTGGGGCTAAGAAGCGTCCAGCTTCTTCCAAAGCCGCTCCTCGCAAGCGGCCCGCCAAAAAACATGATGACTTGACAGAGGCTTGGGGTTTGGTAGCAACAAGAGAACAAGAATCTAACCTTGAAGATTCACTGATTTTTTTTTTCAATCCTATTGAGTTTAGCCGGGCAGGGAAAGCCTTTCGAGCACTTGATTGAGAACCCAATTGAACAGGTTATGGAGCCTTTGCCTGAAAGGCCTGCACACTTGGAATCAAAACAAACGCTGCTTGAGAATTGTTTGGTTTGAACAGCAACACTGTGAACCTCTCCAGGATTGGAATGATGAGATATCCTTACGATGCTCAAGACTATGTCTTGCCGGACACGCTTCTTGGCAAAAGTAAACTTGTCAAGAACATACTCCTAGAGTGTTTGGGCTGAGGCCACTGATGTATGATGACCCGTCGTGCATGGCAGAGACTGAGCAGGATTCCTCTTCGTACCCTGAATGCCCGGACAACCAGTTGGGGCTTCTGTCTACACCTGACTCTTTGTCTTAAATATGGTCGAAACAGCACGTCATTGCACTGGCAACTGCACTAGCAATGAGAAAACTTGATTCTGGTACAATGAGGAACATTTCAGTGTGGGGACACCTGCCAATGCTGATGGGGGCATTGCAGCTGCAGCTGATCCTTGGTTTTTGTGAAACTTAAGTTTGCAAACATTGCCCATGGGTCAGTCAACATCATTCATGAGAACTGTGCATTGCTAGAACCTTGATACAGCCAGTCATATCTAAGGAGAGCCCGCCCAAATGTCTTCGCCGTCTCCATCGTTTCGATTCCCATGAACTGGAGTCTCTCCTTGCAGAAATGCAGGAGCCCGAACCGAAGCAGCTGGATTTTGAGGCCATGTTTTGCCTCAGCTGGATGAAACATATCAACCACTATGACTTGACAAACTATGTGCGTGGGTGGTAGGATCAACCAGTATATTGTATACAGTTTGATGGGTACTGTATTCAATCAGTGTCCTCTAAAAAACACTCTGATGATGTGCTATCACGATCAAATGTTAGGATCTCCAACATGTGTTAGTTGTGTCCCATGTCGCCATTGATTACTAACTATGTGACCCTAAAGTGCAATTGTGTTCTCAAGCCTGGCAAGTGTTGAACTTTCAAATTACCCCCCTGTGTCAGGCGGAAGTGGCTGAGAACCCATCTTCTCAGGCGGAAGTGGCTGAGATACCATCTTCTCAGGTGGCAGTTGCTGAGATACCATCTTCTCAGGTGGAAGTGGCTGAGATACCATCTTCTCAGGTGGCAGTCGCTGAGATACCATCTTCTCAGGCGGAAGAGGATGAGATACCATCTTCACTTGTGGCAGTGGCTGAGATGCCATCTTCTCAGGTGGCAGTGGCTGAGATGCCATCTCCACATGTTGACATGAAGGGTGGTGAGGCTGGGGACGCACGACGCTCCATTCCTTTGATCCCCACACCAGTGCGGGCACCAATGGTTGAGCCTGCACCCAAAGCATCCGCAGATTCTTCAGCCCCAGCCAGGAGGAAGATTTCCAAAAAGACTAGCCTAGTGAAACCAGAACCAAAAGCAAAGGCAAAAGCAGAGGCAGCCCCCCAGGAAGGAGAAGGATGAGGTATCCCGCAAGATGCACTCTGTATCTAAGCTGTTTAAGATGTTTTGCCTTCTCCATGTTGCTATAAGCATGATGTTTTTTTCCCCAGTTCAATGCAACACCAGAGTGTCCTCCTTTTGTTTTCCTGACTTAGGTATACTCAGTTGCTCATACTCGTGCAAGGGCTCAAGGTTCTTCACCCAAGAAAGCAAAGAAGATGGCCAGTGATGCACGATTAGAGTGACCCGTCTAACTATGATCTAGGCTGTGTGTGCTACATATCCCGCTCACTTTTTGTTACATCACAGGTATGTGCATGCGCAATCCTGAGGTGGGCAATTGCAAATGGGCCGCCTGATCACCCTGCTGTGATGCGTCTTCTGAAATCGAGCTGATCAATGGATTGGCAATTTCTATGATGTTCTGATGGCCATGCTATTCTTCTACCTACTTCATTTAAGGCAACCCAACAATGTCATAGTCACACAATGGACTCTTGTGTGTGTATGTCCTGCAAATGGCCACATTAAATTGGGGTACATCCAAGCTATATGAAATTGTGCTTGGCGGGAGCGGGCTGGGTCCCGGGCATTCGAAGCTCGCAAGACAACTGCGGGAAGTTAAAAAAAGCTGCGGGCACAGGTGGTGAAGGGGGGAGCCTTCAAGGGCCAGTTGCCTTTTGGACAAGAGCCAGTTACAACTGCACAAGACTATATGTTATAGTTTGTTCCAAAAAGCCGCGTTGACCACTCACACGCGTTCGTCGGGCCAAAAGAGCTCCAGGCTACACAAGCGCAGCTCTTCATAGGACAAGGCCCAGTTCACTTCAGCTGCCGAATGCCAAACGGCATCCTTAGGAAGCCAGGCTGGCCCGGACATGGGATAACGCTTAGATCTTCGTTCTCAGTCGGTCTCCAAGTGATCAGTCGTGCACAGCTACGACCGTCCAGGTGGTTGGGGTCTTGAGTTCTAAAGGGGTCACTGGAGAATGGCCCATTTGGAATGCCCCGATTATCCATCTGGTTGTGGGTCAAAACCCAGACCCTAGACCGGTCCACCGACTGGTGGGTCGCTCCAGGTGTTCACTCACACCCCCTGGAACTAACATGGAAGTGGATCTCATGGTCCCGAAAGGAAAACCCTAGTACCATCCACGACGAACAGGTGGTACCATCCAGGTAACCATGTGAACTAACAGGGAGAGTACGTTTTCTGTGTCTCAGGGGTGGGACATCTGCCATGAATCCTTTGGATTTCCACCTCCTCCACGCGGAGGAAGCACAAAACGCTCGCCCAGCGAAGTCAGGGCGCGAAACCGACCACGCGACCATCGGAGCATCCGACCGAAATCCAGAAATCTGTAAGTGACGCCACTGGCGCGACGGCCTGATTCATTCTTGGAACACCACTGTCATCCAAATGACTCACCAGTCTCAGTATCTATCACCATGGAAATGCCCCACGTTGTTGGAATATATGCAAATTCTTCGTCACTTACCAATCTACAAGGCGAAATCGCGCCCTGCAAATGCTCCTTCCCCTTCGGCCCCCCCTTCCCGTTCATGATCCACATCCAGCCGACGCGAACCGAATCACGTCGAAGTAACTCGGAGGGGTCCCCGGGGACAAATCACATCACCCTATAGAGGCCCCGGTTGTAGGGGCGATTCACAGTGTCAAGAGACACCCCATGGCTGGGAGCTCTGGGAGCTAAGCAAACACCAAGCAATCCTTCATGCGAAAAAAAGTGTTGCTTCGCTCAGGAAACAGGGTCATTTCAGTTAGGATCAGTCAGGATTCAAAGGCCACATTTGAAAGATCAGCTCCCAAGTTGACCTTCGAGATATTTCCACAGATTTGCCTCGATCGGGCAGATGACTGGAATTGATTGCGCAGATTGGACGGGAGACATTCAACTGTATCCAATTGCTCTAGCCCAAAGGGACCGCCGTTGACCACTCAAAACACCCAATGTTGGACTCTTCCACCTTAACATACCCATACTAAAAACCTTAACCTATAGAATCGTATAGTATGACTTCAAGGAGTCCTTGAGCTGAATGACAAAGAGTTTGCCTTTTGGGATTTAGCATGCCATTAGATAAGAACCAAACCGGTTTCCTTGAACGATTCCATCATACATGTACAGGATGTTACCATGTTTGTGGATGTTCAATGCCTTTGTGAAGGGCTCGGTGTCGACATCAGCCCCCCAATAGGTACGGCCCTATGAATCTGTGCCCTCAAATGGAAAGAGTTTTGAGGGTCTAAAACCCCGCCATGGAGAGCGCAACCCCAAAATGGAGGGTCCGAGGAATCTTCGGGGGGGAAGAAAGAGGAAGAAACCATGCGATTTGATACAAACCGAAGGAATGGAATCTCAGCATTGGATGGTAGGGATGTCCATTATCCACTCACTTGGGCGCCAAAACCTTTCCTTTGGAACCGCTGGTTTTTGAACTTTGCTCTGTTTCTGTAATGATGCCTAGACAAAGGAGGTGAATTGACATGTCCCTCGAAGGGAGATGGTCCCCAAACATCTTCTTCAAATCCACTTGAGGGTCGGAGCACTGTTCTGTTGACTCTTGTCTTTGTGCTTTTGTGCGGGTGATTCTTGCATGGAGTGGACTATCTGCGCCATCACTTTTCAGGCCAGGGGCTGACTTCGCCTAGCTTCCGCATGGAGGGATGGCTATTCCGAGATTTCCGTCAGCAGGAAGGCAGTCCATTTGCATGGGGGATAGGACCAAGAGCTCCTTGGCATGAACAAATTTCACACCTTCTGAAAGGCAGTGGGATCGCAGAGGGCCTCGCGTTTACTGTGATACCTCAACCACCAGAGTTGTCCCTCACCAGTTCGCAGCCTGCCACGATGCAAGTCATCACTCCCTTCCAGTTCGATATGCCACTAATATTGATCCTGGTTTTGGAGTATGCATTCGACTCGCCTCCAGTCCAAAGGGCAGTTTTATGCCATCCGCCGTGCACAGTATACACGGTGTTCGTCTTGCTAGGGTTAGACACCTGGTGCGACGACAGGCACCATTGTGGGGCGTCTTATAGGCATGGGAAGTGCGGAATGTACTTCCAAGACCTGGACGTAATAAGAGTGCCCACAGCTTCTCGACTCACACTGGTACTTACCAATAGGGCTAGAAAGCGTTGTGAAGATAACGACTTGCCTCAAAAAGCAATGCAAGCAGCGATGCAAATAGCAAACCGACTGCACACGCCGGGTACGCCTAGCCACCATCGAGCTTTCAAAAATGCCAGGGCTGTCTTGATGCATCAACCAACAGATTCTTCTGATGAGGAGGATACTAATGTGATGTTACAGCTAGAACTGGATTGGAGCGATATGGAGGCCTCATCACAAGAGAGAATTCTAGTCTCCATGCAAGATGTCAAGCAAGACGAAACGGCTTTCATGCAACGTCCAGGAGCTCCTGAAGCCTGGACAGGCTCCGCCAGTTCAGATTCGTTTCCAAGCACGATGGAGGCTGCAGGCACAGAGGCAGTGTCCAGTTTAAGCAGTGTTCCGTTGCAGGTCGGACCGCAACCTAACAGAGAATATGACTGGTTACAATCATGGCAGCACGTTCGGCACTATGTTACGGATTACTGTCAGGCGGTCGGTAGGAGGACCATGGCTGGTGAGTTGTTCATCCACTTGGTTGTTTGCAGACAGGAGGAGTCAACTAATCATGGTATTTCTTGTCCTGACCGTTTTTTTGACGGCAAGCAGTCCAATCCATCATTTCGTTCAATACCTGCAGCATTTTGCCTTCCCCTTTGACATGGAGCACACGAGAGCTTTTCCAGCCACGGTGGAGTTGCATCAGAACATTCCTTCAATAGTGATCGTTGATGCAATGGGCAGGAATCGAAGACCAATGATTGTTCAAATGCTAACAGAGTTAGAATCGCAAGTCTTCGTGTATCAAGCGGCACCGATCGAACGGATAGCAGGTATCGTTTGGTGGCTACGACAACGAGCTGTCATACTTACTCCAATCGAAACATTCCTGAATAATGCTAGAGTGTTTGGAGGGGATGACATGCCAATCTATGCTGGAGATGTCTTTCGAGTCAGAGTCCTCTCCCAACATGAACTAAACTTTCCGACCAACTCTACGGGAGAACCCACCAACGAACAAAGCTTTGTCTCCCACAATACTTGGTCGACACTGGACCCGGGTGCAACCAGTGGGGTGAGTCTAGATCGAGCAACTACAGCGGAAGACGCTCCTGAATACACACTCGAGCAATTGATGGAAGACAATGAAATCCACGATGAATATGCATTAGTCCAAAGCAGTTGCTTGATATTAACCTCGATCTTACCAGCAACCGGAAACCAGGAAGGAAACGTAGTCCATTCTTGGTTTGAAGTACAGATTGAAGACTTGACCTGGTTCCCAGAAAGTGACGGGGACTGGATCACCATGGTAGTCAGGAGAGAAATGGCTCGAGCCCAATGGGGTCTTGGTAGTTACATCTTGATTCTGCGGCCGGTAGAACCGCTCGTGGATATCCCGTTGGAAGCACGAGCATATGGGGAAGCGCCAGACCCCTTTGACCTCTCCGGATTACTATGGACACAGTGGCCAGATCTCAATTATGTTCGTTTTCGCATATTCGAAGCTATGAGCCAATATCAAGTGGGACGGTCGTCTGAAATGACCACACTAGTCATCCGCCCGCATAGGTGGGGAAACTCGCCGGACATGATAGTTATCATAGTGGAGGTTGTGCGCCTACAATGGAGCAGCATCCTTTCGCGGTCCACAGCGCACATGATGCATAACGGGATTACTCCCTCAAAGCTTGTTAGGTCTGCCAACGTTCGTGATTGTACAGTTTTCTTTTGTGAAGTCAGACATGAAGGTGAATTGGTTTGGCCTGAAGCAGAACTCACTCTCGCGAATGGAGCATTAGTAACAGTGCTGGTTAAGGATGCCCATGAACAACCTGGAAGTTTCCGGGTCACATCCATCCAGGAAGCCAGCCACTGGGACACACGACGATGGCAGTCGCAAGAGCAGCCCTTTCGGCAGAGGGGCACCATATTGGTGTTTCGACCAGCGCCAAAGGGGTTTTCAGCCCGGTGGAGTGTCCGGCTGCCAGTCCAAGCTTGGCATACTTGGGAGATAGTGAAGCACAAGATCCGGAAACACTGGAATGAGTTCGCTCTTGCTCCGATCAGGCACCATAATGCACATGATGTCTGGAGAACGATGGAGGAATTCGAGTCTTTTGTTGCTGTTGCCATTGTCAAGGAGCCTCCGATAATGTTTGCACATCCAATCATTCTCGTCCTTTGCCGGGACTCCGGCGAGCAGACCGGCCATTACTGGGCGCAGGAGTGGCATAGCGCCATCGATGAGAGGGATGTTGTCACATTGTGCGGTCAGGCAGTGCAGTGTCAACTTGCGACAATTGAATGTGACGTTAGACATAACGATCGATCACTGAGATTTGTGCAGCGAATAGAAATTACACATGGAGACATAGTGCGGAAAAGGGATCCATTTTGCCACGACGTCCAAGGTCATGCTAGGCCAGTCAGGATACGTAGGAGAGAATCAGACGACACAACTGTCAGTCTTCTACAATTGGCGGCTGTCCGTAGGACTAAACAATGGACCAAACCCTGCACTGCAGGTCTCCGTCCGCCGGGAAATACCACCTTTTGGTTTGTCGAAAGATTGAATACGATGTCCACATGTGTGTTCACGGAAGACCATACTTTCGTCGTTGATGAGGTTCCCAGGCAAGGGAAGAAAATAAGTATTGCCAACCATTTAGGAATAGGACCGGGTCGTCGACCCATTCCTACACCAGCTCGGTCGGCGAGAATGCCAGTTAGGGACGCGGCCCAATATCGAGTGCCGCTCATGACATCTCGGGATATTTCCGTATGCCTCGAATTTGGAGACAGCGATAAATCCATGATTGATATTAAGCAGCTCCCATTGACGGAGGAAGTTAAAGCTGGTCTTGCCCGAATCCCTGCATATAAATGGGATGAAGACCTTGTATACTCAGATGCAATTGAGCTGTACACTGATGGGTCTTTTGATGGCAGTCATGCAGGTTGGGCAGCAGCCATAATCTTTCACCGGAATTCTGCTTGGGGATTGCTTGGGGTGTTGTCAGGCTCCGTTGTACACGGAAGCAGCACCACCTTTGGTGTTGGAATCCCGAGCCTGTCAGCCCAAGTTGCCGAGCAAGCCGCACTCATTTGGTCGCATTGGTGGATCCTTAGATTCGCCCGAACTTTTGGCTGGCAAGGTCAAGTCTATTTTAGGTGGGATGCAATTGTTCCAGGGAAACAGGCTCTAGGGGATTTCCAAACATCTACCCCCCTTGGGTCACCTCCTCCGAGCACTAGCATTTGCGCTAGAACAGCAGCAGGGAGATCGACATATCTACCATGCGCATGTGCGAGCGCATAAGGGCATCCTCCTGAATGAAGTAGTTGATACAGCTGCTAAGGCGGCGAGATCCCAGATGCCCATAGCACCCGACAGAGGCAAGCTTTCCGAACTCGTTCATAGGCTGCCTAATTTGCACCAATTATGGTGGGTTTTCTGCAGCCAGGCCTATCAGCAGCAGTTGCCGAAGTTTGACCGTACTGCCAATGAGTTAAGGTGGTCTCCAACAGCCAATCAAGCTACACAAGTGACAGGGATCCAGCAAGGTATTCAATTTGGACATGCGGAGCACCAAGCGCAGTCTGTGACCTGTAACTTGCGATGCGCCAGCTACAATGTCCTCTCCTTGATGGATCCAGCTCCACCTCCACTCAATAGGGAAACTGGCCGTGCACGCCTACTGAGAGAACAAGCTAATGCCAAA